TTATTATAGTGCAAAACATTTTACGCTTTTTTACTGACTTTATTGTAGTTTTGTAGCTGATATCCTTTTGAACAAGAACTTTACTGCCGTTGATCATATTTTATATTTCCTTTTGTTTTGTTTTAGAAAGGTGTCTTTCGTCACCAGGGGAAAAGTATTTCTGGCCTTAATGAAAAAGGGCAAAGGCTACTAAGTTGTAAACATAAAGACGTCATCTGCATATTGAAGGTACAAAGAGGACAACGGTCTACTTTACTCGTTCTGGACATTTGGAGAGATTTACATGTATAATTATACAATATGTGAATGATTATATTGTGTCAATAATAGCGGAATTAAACGGACTCAATATATATACTCCAGTCTGTAAAATAGTTACGAGGTTATAAAAACAAAACAGACTTTAAGTCCTAAAATCAGTAAGAAAAACTTATCTATTACATGTAAGTGTAGAAATTGAGTTGATTCATTTAAAGATCAATTTCGATACCTTTCGACGAAATCGAGGCTTTGATACATATTCATGGTACGAGAAACACTTATGTCCTCTTCGCAGACGACATCAAATAAGCAGACGAAATCGAATCATTCTACGTTAGATGCGCAACAAACCACACCTGAACTTCAGACCCAATCTGAGAACGAGCTTTCACATGAAGAGCAGACGACACCAAATGGAGAGACGCTTCCAGAGCAGCAGACGTCATCTGGGCAGCACGCGACATCTGAACAGCAGACGTCATCTGTGCAGCACGCGACATCTGAACAGCAGACATCATGTGTGCAGCAGACTTCATCTGAACAACAGACCACAACACGTTCATCAAACACAACATATAGTTTTGAACCTATGATGACAATTATTGACAAAATAGCAGACGGACAACGAGTTCCGCCACAGACTACTATGAAATATGAAATGTTAAGGTTTTGCACCCTTCGATCTTTTCCAAAAGGGAACAAACCTTATATTACCAGATTGGCTGGTGCAGGATTTTATTACGCAAACGAAGGCGATGAAGTCGTCTGCTATTGTTGCGCGCGCCGTAGGAGAAATTGGACAGAATTCGAAAATCCTTTAGAAGTACATAGAGAATTAAATCCAAACTGCAGCTTCCTCATTCGTAATTCTGAAGTAAATGTCTCAGTAAGACAAAGTATTGAAAGTTCTTCAGCAGAATCTCACTCAAACCTGTCAACAATTAATAGAGACCAGTCTAACTCTAATTTTCGTAATGAATTAACGGAAGTGAATGTGTCGTCTGCAGTTGAGACTGGATCACAAATTCAAACGAATCAAAACTCTGAACATTCATCTTTTGCAAGCAATGCGATTTCAAGAGGAGGGAACCAGTCTATTTCACTACTTCCTGTAGATGTACCGCAAACTACTATTGAGAACCAGTCTTCAAATAATTCTACAGGTAGTGATAATTAAGTCACATAAGTTTGTAAAGTAAAGCTTTTCATAAAACTATATCGGAGGCTTAATTTAATAGCAACAAACAAACAAACAAAACAACCAAAAAAAAAAAATTAAAAAGAACAATTAAATTCACATGATTTGATTACATCTAATATCACAGACCGAAAAAATGCTTATTTTGTTATTTAAAAATCATTTTAAAGAAACCATTGAAGGTCCTAGACTAAGATAGTTTTTTTTACCGGTGTAAGATGAATGATTTGCTCAATAGGGTAGATCTTTACATTTGGGATAAAAACCCATCAGAAACAACAACAAAACAAGAAAACAACTAATATTTTATTTTTTCTCACTAGCACTGTATAGTTTGTGTAGCAGGATGGTGTTCCACATTCTATTAACATTTAAACTACTTCCTTTACCAAATTGTCATACATATATAGAAAATCGTCTTTTTTTGTTACATTTACTCACATATACATGTATGTATTTATTAAGTTTTTAAACTAAAATCGAAATGGATTATTCGCTTCTTACACCATTGTTATACCTGTATCTATTTTTGTTCGTTTCTATCACTGTGTTTTATTTTCTATAGGAAGCGGATCTTCATCTGTGGCCCCAAAATACCCCAATTATGTCAGCAAGACAACACGGTTGTCGAGCTTTAATGATTGTGGGGACATCGTCATACCACCAGATCGCCTGGCACAGGCCGGCTTCTTCTACGCCGGTTTTGGGGATTGTGTCCGGTGTTTCCAATGTGGAGTTGGTAAGTTCAAATTAATAGCCCTTTCTATCGTTTACATTTTGTTTTGATTTTTTTATATTGTACATAACTGAATCGCAGATATAAAATACATTCATTTTTAGGAAACCTCGACTCGTGTTTTTCAATTTTGATTATTGATAGCTTATGCTTGTGTACAGTTCTTGTTTAGTCTTTGTCCTAATGGTAAATCATGGGTTTGAGTCCTAATCGAGTCACGACCATGTTTCTTTTGATGACACAAGTACTAGTTTGTTCCATGAAATGAACTCGGAAGTGATTGATTTAAGTTGCAAGAACTTGTTTCGCATTCGAGTTTTAATATTTTTAAAGAATTCTTTGTCCTACATTTTCTGTAATCTATATCTATATCCCATTAACTGTTTTCATCATGATTATTTAAAACATTGTTTCTATGACAACAAATAGTCCATTTATGTACTGACAACTAACAGTTAATAATAAAACCAAGATGAGTATGCTTTAATGGGAAAAACACTTTGAAATTTTCAAATGTAGATCCTATTAGACAAAAAATACGTCAATGATAAATGGTAATATTACTTTTAAAACAAGCAACGCCATGATTGTGATGTCATATTTTAATTTACTGCATATCTGACACAAAGCTGTTTACTGTCGATATTATCGAACAGTAAGCAGTTGACATAAAGCAACTTATACGAACATAAAAGGGAAAGAACTCGTTACTGATTCGCTAATTTAGAATATACTGGTTGTATCCCTTCCTTTGTGTCCTTCAAAAGTTGTTTGTTTTTCCTCAATTTTTTATGATTTCAACCTAGGCACATTGTTTAGAATAAAAAATTAGTGAGGATATACAAATTAAAGTTGAACCAATAGATTTTGGGCTTAATGGAACGCCTTTCATATCATGTCGTCACAACGGGAAAAGTTTTTTTTTGCTCGTGACAAAAATGTATTCGAAAACTACCGGAAGTAGTTTTATAACTTTACTGTCCGGAATAAATCGATGTTTTTTCGTGATCCTTATGCATAAATATCTAGTTAAAACAATGCATTCTTATATTGCCTTTTATATAATGTTATATTGATAAATTCTACAGGACTACGTCATTGGTCGGAGGAAGATGATCCGTGGATAGAACATAGTAGATGGTCAAATGAATGTTTATACGTACGACAGATTAGGGGAAGAGAGTTCGTGAATATCGTGCAAATGGCTGTTCAGTATTCACAAAACGTATATATGTTAACTTACATTTTTAAACACTTTTCATATAAACCAAAAAGACAGAATTATATATTTGATGTATAAATATATGTGATTTGTTATTTAAATGAATACAATGTTTTTAAAACCGATCAGATGTAGATCTAAATTTGAATCGCAAAAATGAAAGTCAATTGAATATAAAACGTAACTGTTTAAGAAAGTATTCGGAAATAAATTATTACATGGTCTCCAATTTCTTTAAGTTAACAAGAACTGTAGACTTTCGTTTGTGTAAATGTACGTAATAATATTTGATTCAGATTGATTCATTAGTATGACGTTATTTATGACGTCAACACACCAAATAACGTCATGTTAATAGTTCTCTTTGGAATATAATTAAGACGATTTTAGATTAGATACTGGCACGAGTGTCCAACCTATGCAATGATCTTTGAAAAAAAAATCACCCAAAAAAGATCGACAATACTTAAATATTTCCATAAATATATTTCTGTATTTTTCAGCAAACCGGAAATGAATCGATTTCAACACAAGGAACTGAAGGCATAGGTAGTTTTTGAAAGCTTTGAAAGCATATAAATGCAAAAATTGAAAATAACTAGACATAACTTCAAATGCTTATGGAAATATGAAAATGTATGTGGTTAATTTAATTAAATATGCTTTGAAAATAAAAAACGCATATGTCTGTGTTAGAATAGTGTTTTTAAAAACAATATTATATCAAATTTACGAAATTCAAAAACGAAACTTGTTTAAATATTTTTTTAGTTATAAATACATCTACCTTTATATATTAATTAAATGAGGCATAACTTCCTTACTTATGCTTTACTTTTTGTAAAAAAATTTGTATCAGCAGGGAGAGGTTTCCGGGAAAAGCGTCGCAAAATAGTAGACTGTGACACAAAAGCCACAAAAGGGCTTGGAGATGGGTTATCACCCCGAGTCATTGAAAAGCTTTAGAATGGCCTTCCCCCAACGGTTTTCATTTTTTTAGTCTAGATTGTTTTTTATTTATTCCTTTTAGAATTTAATAAATTTAAATCAAACTGTGATTATAGCGTTTGCTTTGTAAACTTTCTCAAGCAATGTTTGTTAATAGCCACCATGAATCCGAGATGTGTGCTTTCCCAAATGAAACCAATATGTTTGCTAAAAATATTGATCCATAATTGATTGAAATACACTGTGAGCGTTCTTTTCAATCGATTTGGAACTTCTGAAAAAAACATTATTCAGTGTTGTAGCTGTAGTTGGTAGTCTTTTATATATATCCGTGGACAATTTGTTAGTATGATGTTATAGAAATACTAACATCAAAATTATTATATTAATAATATCATACTTATTTCTAATTTCTGGATCGAAGTTATTTTGTTTCCTATTGAAACAAATCATTCATATTTTTTATTATAACATTATCCACTTCAGTCGCTGATTTACATCAAATTCATTTTTTTTTGTCTTTAAGGAATTGCCCAAGTTGTGCTCATTTACCATGTATGTCAAAATATTGTACGATTGAAATTTTTTAACAAAATAAAAGGTTTCATTTTTATTCTTTTATATCTTTTATTAGGACATGGAATTTTAACAGCTACAAACATAATGGAGAAAATCTTTGAAATCGAAGACTCTGAATCTCAAGAAAATACTGAACCTGAGAATGCGGAATTACACGCACCTGCAAACACTGAAGCACGCGCATCTGCAAACACTGAAGCTCGCGCACCTGCAAACGCAAAATCACGCCAAAGAAACAATGAAACATTTACCACAACAACACAGGAAATACAAGGTCACGAAAGTGCAACTCCTCAAAACGCCCCTTTAGAAAATGTAAGTGGTGCTGTTGCCAGGGGTAACGAGAAACTGCTTAATAATGGTTCGTCTGAGAACCAACCGGAAACTGCGACACGTCATAATGATGACGACAAAAAGTGTTCTGGGAATGTAAATGGGGATGAAAGCCAAGGCAGACAACAGAACGTGTCAACTATGTCGTCAAGCGGAAGTAAACGGGCAAATTCAAAGCAGACGACACGTGAAAGTCCCGCAAGCCGTAAGAAATTTTGATTTTAAGATATGAATCACCCATCTTAATATGATCTTAGTTAACTAAATTTATCTTGTGTTTGCATTTTTACACTACAATAACAAGAAATAAGGTTTATTGTTTTTTTGTTTGTTATTTTTTCTTTTTTGAAAAAAAAAATCAAGAAAAAAAACCACAAATCATTGTCTTACTGCTAATTTATTTATTTACAAACAATTATCTAGCAATGTTACCTACCTAGCAATGTTGTTTAGAATATAATATATATTTATTTTTAAAAGTGTTGAGACATGTGGTCTTTTGATTTTGTTTTAGTTATAATCATTCATTTTTTTTCAAGTTCGACGTGGCCGCAAAATGTTTCTCATATTTGCATATATTTTTATAGCAACATTGGCTATAACTTTTCTTTTGCCTTTTCTGTTAAAATTTGCTATAATAATTTCATACAATTTAATACATTTACGTCAACTTGTGCAGCATTGTTTCTTTTTTTTCTGCATGTGTATAGTGTGTTCTTTGTAACCTTCGCAGATTGCGCATGCTCGAGAAAATATTTCATTATGCATAGCAACGGACCGGGCCGTAATAAAGGTCTTAACGTTTGAGTGTATTTCATAGTTAATTACTTTTAAACGTATTAAACGAAAACACTATAATGATATACTTTATATAACTTTTTAAAGATATGAATATCAAAGACAAAAAAATATTGACGTTTTTATTCTCGAATATAAAAATTTCGATCGCATTTTTTTTTTCTGCAGGTGATGAACATCTAAGGGAACAGAAAAGGCTAAAGGAGGAAAATGATATGTTAAAACAACAATCTTTATGTACAAAGTGTCATGTTAATGACGTCTGTATCGTTTTCTTACCATGCGGACACCTTGTCTCGTGTGAAACTTGTGCACCTACTGTACGATATTGCACGGTGGTCACGTGCGGCAAATATATTAAAGGTACCGTGCGCACGTACCTAGCTTAAAGAACTTAAAGAAAGAAGGACAGCTTGATAGAAAATGCATATATACATGCACTTATAATTATCTTATAGATAAAGAAAGCCAATGTAGCATAACATAACAACGGTTTGGTAAAGAAAAAAGTTATTATGCTTGTTCAGGAAAACCTTACCGTTCTTTTCCAGCCTTGACTTAAAAATGATGGAAATGTTTGGTGAATAAGGTGTGGGTAGCATTGATATATAATCTAAGTTTCAAATTATTTGTTATAATACAAAGCACCATATTACTGTAGAAATAATGTGTATTTGTTATTTTTTTTACATTACATTTTATCATTTTCTTTTTATTCTTTCATTCTGTACATATTGCGCACAGTGACACTGGAGATAAAGGCAAGACATGCCCGTTTGTAAATAGTTTATTTTCTTTCAAAGCGTATCATGTAGATTTAAGAAAGTTATAATTGTCAACGTACATATATATGTTACTTACATTGAATATTTGTTAAGCATATATTGATCAAAGATATTAACTTTTTTAACGTCAAATAGCAGTATCAACAAATCTTGTAGTACGTAGTGTTTTTACTTATAATGATATAAACCAGCAGACATTTTCACAAAAATCTTACGACAATTTTTTATCGTAAGAGAAATCTTATGATAAATCTCCTTTTCACAAAAAATCTTAAGAAAACCTTAAGTGCAAAATCTGTCGTAACTTTGCGATAGGTCTTCCCCACTTGTAAGTGTAATTTTTTCTTTCTTAAGGGTAAAATATCACGTATCTCTTACCTAAACCCAATAAAAACAAACAAAAACTTGGAGGAAAAATATATATTAAGCAAACAGTATGCTATAAATTACACAATTTGAGGTTTAATTATTTTTAAATATAAACATTTGTGACGTCATGACTTGATGACGTCACGATGGAGAGGGTTATGAATAGTTTAAATGTGAACTATATTGTAGTATTATTGAAAACTAATAATTTGTACATTTGGTGAGTTCGATTTCATTGCCAGCATGTACTAGTGGTACCTTTTTATTTATTAATAACAAAGTAGACCTTTTAGATATTTATAATTATCTTCAATCAAGATATAGAATTATATCAGTTTGAATCATTAGCTCGACTATCCGATAAGAATAAGTAGAGCTATTGCAGTCACCCGAGCGTCGGCGTCGGCGTCGGCGTCGGCGTAACCACTTATGTTAAAGTTTTTGTAATAGTTCAAATATTTTCAAAGTCCATTGACATATGGCTTTGAAACTATTCACACTTGTTCAACATCATGACCCCAACCTGTAGACAGGAGGAGGTAACTCTATCAAGCATTTTGACAGAATTATGCCCCTTTTTCGACTTAGAATTTACGTTAAAGTTTTTGTAATAGTTCAAATATTTTCAAAGTCCATTGACATATGGCTTTGAAACTTTGCACACTTGTTCACCATCATGACCCCAACCTGTAGACAACAGGAGGTAACTCTATTAAGCATTTTGACAGAATTATGCCCCTTTTTCGACTTAGAATTTACGTTAAAGTTTTTGTAATAGTTCAAATATTTTCAAAGTCCATTGACATATGGCTTTGAAACTTTGCACACTTGTTCACCATCATGACCCCAACCTGTAGACAGGAGGAGGTAACTCTATCAAGTATTTTGACAGAATTATGCCCCTTTTTCGACTTAGAATTTACGTTTAAGTTTTTGTAATAGTTCAAATATTTTCAAAGTCCATTGACATATGGCTTTGAAACTTTGCACACTTGTTCACCATCATGACCCCAACCTGTAGACAGGAGGAGGTAACTCTATCAAGCATTTTGACAGAATTATGCCCCTTTTTCGACTTAGAATTTACGTTAAAGTTTTTGTAATAGTTCAAATATTTTCAAAGTCCATAGACATATGGCTTTGAAACTTTGCACACTTGTTCACCATCATGACCCCAACCTGTAGACAGGAGGAGGTAACTCTATTAAGCATTTTGACTGAATTATGCCCCTTTTCGACTTAGAATTTACGTTAAAGTTTTTGTAATAGTTCAAATATTTTCAAAGTCCATTGACATATGGCTTTGAAACTTTGCACACTTGTTCAACATCATGACCCCAACCTGTAAACAGGAGGAGGTAACTCTATCAAGCATTTTGACAGAATTATGCCCCTTTTTCGACTTAGAATTTACGTTAAAGTTTTTGTAATAGTTCAAATATTTTCAAAGTCCATTGACATATGGCTTTGAAACTTTGCACACTTGTTCACCATCATGACCCCAACCTGTAAACAGGAGGAGGTAACTGTATCAGGCATTTTTTTTACTATCAAGCACTAAGAATAGTCGAGCATGCTGTCCTACCGACAGCTCTTGTTTTTTTGTTCTTATTGAAATTTGATTGTGTTCAATAGATATTTCAAGCTCTTTATTACTTGATTTTAAAACCGGAATTCAATATAGAGCATGCACATCAATATCAAATGAATGTTGCTATGGATGTTTTTATCGTAAGATTTATCGTAAGTGAATTTTTTATCTTAAGATAAAATTTTAACTTACGAGTGGCTTTGTGAAAATGACTTAAGATTTAACTTACGATTATCGTAAGTCAAAAACTTAAGATAAATCATAAGATTTTTTGTGAAAATGTCTGCTGGTATGTAATTTTTTGCTTTTATAGCAAATAATACATTATATGTGCCACTACCTCAAATATTTCAGATATATGCATAGCTTTTTTTCCAGTTTATCTTATATTTAATCAACACAAAAAACATTAACTAAGAATTTAGAATGTCTTTCAAACATTATAGCTGATATTACCAATGATCAACATTTTAAATTTTGTTTTTTTATTTTATTTTATAATGTTCGTTAATCAGTGTACATTTTGTAAGTGTTTATAGTTCAGTTGTATATGTTCCTGACAAAAATTCTTTACGTTTTTTTTTCATCAGAGACCCGACAAATATAAAAAATGTTTATATACTTTTTTGAATTTTTGAATAAATAGCTGTTTTTTCTTACAATGTTAATATTCCAGATTTTTTTTGCAAATGTTTTTTTGTCAATTTGGGTTCACTTTTAGTATAATACACGTTTTATTGAAAATAAATGTATTGACTTCACCATGACACAGTTTGTTTTGTTGTTAATTATTTTATTGTTTTGAATCTATATTCAATTTGTTGATTTGGTCCGGGATATTTTTTTTTTGAGGGCATTGATGTATATGTTTCTTATTGCGTTCCCATATCAACTAGTTTAATACCTTATGATTGTGTTTCTAAATCCGGGTTGTGTTGTTTACTTTATAGTTCAACGTTTTTGATGTACATTTCTGTTATTGTGTTCATAAATCCGCTTGATTAATATCATAAGTTGTGTTATAAAATACTTTTATTGTTTTACATGTATTTGTATATATGTCATAATTTCATTATTATTTGTTGTTTTTCAACTGTAAACGCATATCAGAAAATATTTTTTTAATAATTATGATCTTTTACCAAATCAAAATATGATTTACAATATATTCGTTTTTTATTTGTTTGTGATGCTGGTAACATTTTGAAAAGAAAACCCGTTTGATATTATTATAATTGTAATATTGTTCAATTATGTTTAAACTGGTTGAACTTATCATAAAGGTTCATGTGAAGTTTAATTTAACAGGGTAAAAAAACACACTAAAAATTGTGATAATGAAGGAACATGACATCTTATGATATTAAATTTTGTTATTTTACAGTTGAAATTTGTCCATGTTTTATCATCGACCCGTATACCCTACTGTCATGTGACCACTGTAGACCAAAATCATTTTAACTGTAAAACAGTGTGAGCATTACTAATTTACTTTTTGCGTATTTTTCTTTTTATTTATCTTTTTTTTTAATTAAGATAAAAGGTCTTCCAATATAGGTTGGATTTTAGTCTTGCAGTTTAGAAACATGAAACAATCGTGCTAAGTAAGTGACAAAACGAGAAGGACAATAATACATAATTGGATTGAATAATTTTCTTTTTTTATCACATTAAGTTTTTATTTTGACGAATTATTTGACGAAATGCCAACTGAAGGTCCGATTGCGATCAAAAGTAAGTTTTAAGCTCAACATCCCTTCTCTTTTTCGAATAACAAACAATGAAGTCGTATGCAGTGAATATCTCGCATTGAAAATAAGAGTTTCTGAACCTGTGTCCAAATGTCGGATTATCGAAAGCGGTCATCGCAGTTGGATGATGGATTCATGGAAATCCAGCCTTATGATTTGACGTCCGCGACTCGCAACCGGTAGACTGTTAAACGAAACTGAATTATTTTCATATGATATATGTATGTTGTACACTTACACGTATTTGATGAGTTCAAAAGAAGAAACATACTTTGAAAACGCACACTTTGTATAAGACTTACAATATCAATATACCCATACACATTTGTTTTAGCTTATAAAAATGCCGTCAAAATAACACCAGCATATTTTAAATCGATTCATTAAAAATTAAATAATCATATAAAATTACGTTGCTCCAAATATAGAAAGTAATACACTTTACTACTTAGGAATAGATTACTACTGTTAACATAACGAAACTTCATGGTTCCTGAAAAAATATAATACATATAATATTATTTGATGCATTTCCCAATCTTGGTAAGAATACATGTCTTACATATACACCTACCGAAATATCGAAGAGCCGGACTGCTAAAGGGATAATGCATGTGTAGTATCAACACGTCACCAACTGTTTTGAAGTTCGTCAACTTCCTCCGTGCTATCTAACTACTGGCAACATCAATGACCCCGATAACTATCAGTGATCCAGAGAAATACAAGTAAAATGGTTTCCTGCGGTGAACATTTTAATGATATAAAGATATTTCATTTAACTATTTTCAACATTATTTGGAGGAGGGGGGGGGGAGAGAGAGAATAAATAAACATTTGTAACAGGAATATAGTTGACAATAATCGAACAATATAGAAGAAGGTCTTTGGAAACTGCATGTGACCGTTGAAGACCGGAGAAGGTCGAACATAAAACAATTATTTCTTTTTAAGAAAATGATTAAATAGGCCTACCATTTTATGAATAATTCCGAGCAAAAAATAAATAAAGTAAACACACAAGTTTACGCAAAAAATATCTCTATTTATTATGGCAGAAGCCACTACGAATATTTTAATTTTGTAGATTTTCAGTATAAACAATTTATTGTTTGTAAAATTTGAGATAGATATTAAAGAAACTTTGATAATTTTCAAACACATCATTCAAGTTCTATCAACCTTCAACGGTTAAATAATTATAGAAAATTAGAAATATCACGTAATAGATTTTTGTTCTCAATTAGGTATATTTCGGACTAATTCCCTACAGGTAAATCCGTAACGTACCGGCAAACGGTATTTAGCTGGGTTTTCGAAAAGGTCAATTAACCAATCATATACGGTTTACAGATCACATGCTCCTCCATGTACCGAAAACAGGTCACGTGCTCCTCCATGCCTCAAAAGTTAAACGCGTACCAATACCCTGCTGTCTCCAGACCGCAGGGAATAACAACACTGAAGTGTAT